TGATTCAGCTTCCAGACAGATGATGATGTCTAGAAAACAGATCTGAAGCTGGTGCAAAATAAAATGTGGAATTTTCAGGAATTCAGGAAAGACACTTCAAAAATCCTTGGTTTTTTTCTCATCCATCTAGTTAAGCCACCGGCAATCTAAGCAAAACTCCAAAATGCCAAATTACATCAACTAAATTCTGAAATTTCCTTGCTTATCTAGTCACATTCAGAATATATTTTTGCCACTTGTTGCCAATACTTTATCAATCTGCTTTCTGCATCCTTAGTGTCCTTATCTCTTTTTTGAAATCTGGCTGTATGTCCTGAGCATTATTTGAATCTGCTTGTCCCCTGCTATATGTCTATTCCATTTTTCATTTATCCTTTATTTTTCTGTAATAGGCCAGATTCTGAAGCAAAGATAGGTAGGATCAGAGCAAGACAAATCCTGCTGATATTTTTTTTCATACCCAATAATTATTTAAGAATCAAGAAAAACTATTCTGCATGACTTGTTGAGTCATTGACATTTCCTTAGCTATATAGAAATAGACAACTATGGATTAGCAAAAAAGCAGTGGAAGTGAAAGTAACTTTGTTACTTCCCATGGGCTTCTCCATTGAGTTTCCTTATGGAAAGCTGGAAGGGAGCATCAAAAACCTTTCTTCCTTCCACCCTTCTTTCTCACTGTTCTTCCTTCCTTCTCATCCTTCCTCCATCCCTCCTTCCCATCCTTCCTCCCTCTCTTCCACCCTTTCCTCACTTCCTCTCTTCCTGCCTTCCTTCCTCCCTCCCTCTCTTTCACCCTTCTTTGCCTCCTTTCTTTCCTCCCTCCCTTCTCCCCTCCCTCCCTCCCTCCTCCTTCCCTTTCTTCCTCACTGCTCCTCCCTCTTCCTAATTGACTTCTTTCCTCCTTCCCTGCCATTAACTATCTTCCCTCCTTCCTTTCCTTTCTTCCCTAGAACTCCTTCCTGATTCCCCATTTTGCTTGTGGGAAGCTTGCAGGGAGACAGTGAGTGGGGAAGCCAGCAGGAAGTTGCAAGGCCAGCAGGCAGATAAGTGACTGCTTCTGGATGGGGGAGGGATCAAGGGTTTGCAGGTCAGCAATGGTAGATGGAAGTGCACAAGCAGTGCCTTGCGGGCTGGGAAGGGTGTGTGGGTGTGCACTAGAGATGGCAAGTGATTTGGGGAGGGATCATAGGTGGATGGCATAGGTTGGAAAAGGTTCCCCAGGATGCACAAGAAGTGCTGTGTGGATTGGGGAGGGCGCATGAGATGCAGGGCATGTTAAGAAGGGTTTGTGGAGGTTACAGAAGTAAGAGGTACCATGCAGGTCAACTAGGGTGTCGGAACAGGTTAAGAAGAATAGGGGTAGGAGGTGCCATGCCAGTCCCAAATGGCCCATGGGGGGGAGGGCTGCATGGGCTCTGGAAGCGATCTAGTGAAGAGAAGAGGTTGAGGAAAACTTGTGGAGAAAGAATTAAGGTGAACTTCAGAAAAAGGATTTCTCCCCCCCCCCCCCAGATTTGGCTCCATTTACAAGTGCAGGGTTTAGAGTAGATTGAATATTTGACGAAACACAGGATAAAGGAAACAGTGTTCAGTGCCTTAAGAAGTAACCATTTTTATTCTTTCAGAGCTTTTGTGAATTGCTTCAAGAGGGCTTTTATAGGTGTCTTCACTAATGGAAGGCTGAAAAGAGCAAGGGTGATAAGAATATGCAATATTTTATGAAGGGATGAGAAGCATAGAGGCAGCATTAGCCATAAAGAAAGTGACCACAGTGTCCTTGTCAATTCTATGCAATAAAACTCAAGACCAGCAATATCCTGTTTACAGCTGTGAGAAAGGAAAATGTTTACATGCACAGTTGCAGGAAAGGAAAGGAGTGAAAATGGAAGGCTTACTTGACATTAAGCCATTTTTTTAAAAAAAAACAAAGTTTGATTTTATTCTTATGTCTGCCCATCTAGCAAATATGCCTCTGGCTATCTAAAATTTTTTAGAAACAGTATAAAACAAACTAGCCAAAAGCAAGGACAAGCATGCTATGTCAACCAAGGAAACTAGGAACCAACCCATCTGGACTGAACTATCCTCTTAACCTCCAGGCCTGGGAAAATAGCCAGTTCTTAAGAGCTTTCCAAAAAGCCAAATTAACCCTAACTGTGCCCTATTAAGTGCCATAACCGAAAAGGCACTAAATAGAAATATATCTGCCCTAACTCAGTTTTCTATCTTTGATGTGATGGAAACTGACCTCTGATAAAAAGATAATGCAGGGAACTTGATACTAGTGGCAAATAGTTTTTTTTCCTTTCCATCTCTCCTAAAATCAGCATGTATCTTTTCTATAATATTGCTTGGGAACTTTTAAAGTAGGTTTTACTACAAACTCTGCCTAGAATTTGAGAAATTTTAATTGTGGAAGACATCATCCAAAGATCCTACATAAAATGTCTTCTGAAACGTCAGGTATGTTCTTTGGCTTTTTTAGTACTCATTTTGCCACGTTTCCACAATGAAAGAGTTCCTTTTTACCCTTCTTTGACCTTGCAAATACCAGCCCCCTTCCCAGCACAGGCTACCTTTCCCCCCAAATAGCAAAATCAAACTTGAATTAACCTGTGCGATAATGGTCACTGAAGCTTAAACATATCTGGAAAGCCACCGTTGAATGTACAAAATGTTAATAATTAAGCAAGTGATTACACTGTGCTGCTGACTAAAGGACCAGAGTATTTGAGAATATGTACACTAGGAGAAACAAAAGAGTTCTAATTATTCTGAACTAAAAATATCCGAATTAAATTCTGCTTTAGCAAAAACAAGACTAAATAGATGTTGAAGAAAACACAGAATTTTCTTTGATCTCATTCTGCAATTACCTTTGCAGTTTTGAAGTATTGTGTAATTTTTCTCGTTGGATTTTTTTTTTGTATTTATCACATCTATTGACTTTTTTCTTGCCAGATTTGGCTCCATTTGTAGGTAGCCCTCAATTGGAACTGGTCTTAAATCAAGGTATACATGTGATTGGGCCCATTTTTACAATATTTTTTGCGGCAGTCATTAAATGAACCCATTCTTCTGAATGGTTGTCTTTTGCCTGGAAAATAGAGGTCACGTGACTGTAACACTGCAGCAAGCCATAAATCTGTGCCAGTTGTCATGTGCCCGAAGTGCAGTCACATAACTGCGGGAAGCACATTTTACAACAGCTGGAAGTATTTCATAGGCTTTATAGATGGTTTCTTGAGTGATAGATGGTAAATGGATGTAGATCTGGTTATATTTAGAACAAATATTGTGTATTGTAGACATGAATATGTGCATAATGTATGTAAACAATGCCATGTTGACCTCTGAGAATGCTAACAATTTACACATAGATTATGTGATGCAACAAGAAGTACAGATCTGAAAATTTAGGTATCAAAGACCAAGGTAAATTGTTTGTTTGATTGAGAAGAAAAATGGAGTGAACCATTTCAATTTATAAGCAAGCAGATTAAGTTCTGTACTCTTTTCTGAAGAAATGGAAAAAATTAAGATGTGCAAATATTGGTAATGTGCTAGCACGAACATTTAAACAAGTGAAAATATAAAAGAACATGCTTCCACTATTGTTGTATTGATGTGAGAGTTGACACATGAGGAGAAATATGGAAACAGTAGAAATGGAATAATTAATGAAAGACTTTGTGTGTTAAAAAAAAGAAGAATTAGCATCAGGAATGAATCAGTGCTTAATAAAAAATGGAGTGAATGTAAAAATAAGTTAACCAATACATTTGGGTTTGATCATATAGAGAATTTATGAATACCTAATTGCATAAGAGGAGGAATGAATAAGTTAAGAGGAAGAGGAAGAACAAAAAAGTCATTGTAATGAAAGAATGGTTTGAAAGGATCAAAAGATGGAGAAGAGTGATGGTGAATAGTGTTAGTATAAATTAGATTTAATTTCCCTTTTCTGATCTTCTGCCTAAGTTGATCAAATTTAGAGAGAAAATCAGAGAACATTTCAATCAAGTGGATTAGGAAGCTATAAATTCATTGATACATTTGGGGCTTGCCAAAAAAGATTATGCTGTGGCATTCTATTTTTCAGAATGCCAACCAGACAGCCATGACATTTGTGCATATGTGTGTTGTGTGGTTGGTGCCAATTGGCTACATAAGGATTTATAAATAACAAATTCACTATTAGTTATTCAATATTTTTCTTATAGCTGGGAAGAGCAGATGGGAATTAGCCAGATAAGTGGCTGTGTTCACCAACAGGTAGATTGTGGCCTAAATCTAAATCAGAGTCAAGAGCTAGGAGGAATGTCTTAGGCCAGGGGTGTCAAACTGCCGGCCCACCGGCCGGTTTCATCATACCAAAGCCGCAATGCAAAAAGTCACAATACGTCGTGACATGTCACGTGACATGATGAGTTTGACACCCGTGCCTTAGGCAAAACACTGGGAGAGAAGCTATCACACTTTTTTATTTCTATGAGGAGCAAAGTAAGTTTTATTTCTATTTACTGGAATAAAATATAAAACTTAACACTATTATTCAAATAACCATTCTTAAAAATAAACTGACATTCATGAATAAATTGCATATCAGATAACATTGGGTCAAATTCTGAGATTATACTTTCAGTTTGCGAAGTTCTTGAATGTTATCTTTGAAGATGCTTCCGGACCTTTTTCAACTGAACTATTCAAATATCTTTTTGTCCAATTAATATTTGCATGGCTATTCCTCCTCCATAAATAATTTTGCTTTTTAAAACAACCCAAATTGTGTATTTCTCAATATTGAAATACATATTCCTCTTCACCTTTTCGTTGGCAAAGCAATTGAATCATTACCCAATAAATCTATCTCCCTATATCACTTTTAGTTTTTCACAACTTTAGGCTAACTTGTTTCAAAACATTTGGCATACTTTATTGGCGGGTATGATTTGAAGCTGATCTCTCAGAATAATGATTGTTGGTTTGTTTTCTAGCCATGTGACACAAACAACATCTTGGATCCATCCTGTCACTAATGTCCTTGCCTTGTCATGCTTGGAAGGGAACGTGGATGATGGTTTCCGAGAGCTTCCGGATCCCCAAACCTGAGACCATAGATGAAAGACAAGCTGCTTCCAACAATTTATTCATCAACAGAAATAAATTAAAGTTTAGTTATTGTTTCTGTGTAACAGATTACCAGGGTAAACAATTGCCCTCACAGGATCAGTATTATACAGAAGAACCAGTTTCATATTCCAAGAGCTTTTCAATATTGTTTATGTCCTTCCCATTACCAATTCATATTCTTGCGAATCAACCACGGACAACTTCTTGCATTCCTGATCATTATTGCTGATAACAGATGAGAGGTGCTATATCTGGCCCAAGAGCTGAATTGTTTCTTACTGTGTGTTATTCGATAGTGCTGAGTCCCTCAAGCTAGTCCTACCATGAGGTAGATTTAAGAGACTAGGTTCAGAAAGTTTGGGGGTATAGAAAGGTAACAAAAACAGTTGATTTGGGAGTTTTGTTTTGGTGCCTTTGAGTCAATATTGACTCCTGGTGACTTTGGACAAGCCCATGAAGGTTTTTTTGGCAAGATTTTGGAAGTGGTTTGCTCTTGCCTTCTTCCTAGGGCTGAGAGAAAGAGAGAGACTGGCCCAAGGTCACCCAGCTGGCTTTGTGCCTAAGAAGGCAAGGCTAAAATTCAGTCTCTAGATTTCTAGCCTGGTGCCTTCACCAGTTCACTAGATTGGCTCTCCTGTTATTTACTTATCTATTGCATTTTTACTAGAAGAGACGGAGGTGGAGGGGTTCGCTTAAAAATATACTTCCTGCAAACCTGAAGTATATCTTTGAGTAATTTCCACCCGAGTGAGCACTATTTGTTCTCCTAGATCTGGAAATATCAGCCTAGCCACTCTTTATATCTGATAGAGTAAGCTGTAGCTCACAAAAGCTTATGGCGTTTAATAAAATGTATTAGTCAGATTGCTTCTGACACTTTGCCACCATAGACTAGCATGGCTGTCTTCTTAATGTCTCTACCAAATTAATGATGTATCAGTCGTGCAACTCTTTAGTCCCATACGTTTCCAAACAGTTATCAATACATAAACATAAGTAATTAGCAGAGCAGTTTTATGCTCAGCCATAGTAACATTTTAGCAATCTGGAGATGTTTTGGTTTTTTAAAAAAAACCTATTAATTAATAGCTCTTCAGAAGTAGGTCGCTATGTCCAGTGTATTTCTTTATCCTAGCATCATATTGCTGGTCAGATAAGTTCCAGTCACTTCACATGTTTACTGACATGTCATGAAAGCAGATTATGTTCTGTTTAAAAGCAAAATATATTCCAGCCTTGACTTACTTTCTTTTATAAATTACAACATGTATTTACATTATGCAGGCAAATGCAAATGGAATATGTCAGTGATGGCGAACCTTTTAGAGACCGAGTGCCCAAACTGCAACCCAAAACCCACTTATGCATCTTCAAGTGCCGGTGGGTGTGGCCCATTGGGTGGGTGTGGCCAATTGGGTGGGCATGGCTGCCGTGGTAACGGCAGACTGGGTGGGACTAAAAAGTTCAATCAATTCCAACTTTGCAAGAACTTTTTTTTCCCGCGAGAAGTTGAAATTAACTGATTGAACCTTTTTTTTTTTTTTTTTTTGCACATGGCGGCGGAGGCCTAAAGCGAAAAGGTTTTATTTTTGAGTCGACTTCCTGACCCCGCTACTGTGCGCACGGGTGTCTCTCCAGAGACTCACGGCGGAGACCGTGGGCACGGTATCCAAGTGGTGGTGACCTTATACATCAGAATTCTATATCACGGAACCGTTAAACATTCATAATCATTACAAGAATTATCAAAAGTATTGTTTTAATCGAAATTGAAAAAAATAAAGGGTTATTATAAGCCTTCCCAATTTTTCACTTTTTCTCTTTGCACATGATTACAATAGGCTAATGAGAGACATTGTACTGTCATTGTATTCAATCTTAATAGATGAATAAATAATATTTCTTTCAAGGTTTTAATGTTTGAAGTATTTAGTCTTCTCAAAGCTGTGACTACGAATCATATAAGAACTAGAAATTTTACTATAGCAGATTATAGTAGCTTGCTAGCTGTGGACTAAGGGACATATTCCAAAACACATGCTTAACAAGCCAAAATCAATCAAAAGGTATTTATAAATTGGGGGATTTATCTGTTCCCAAAGTGTACAGTACCTGCATTTCCTTTGGCCTATATATCAGTGGTCCCCAACTTTTCTGCCACTAGGGACTGGTTTCAGAAGCAAAATTGTCTTGCCTTGACTGGGAGGTGAGCGGGGGGTGATTTTGTGCACAACCTAGATCCTGTACATGTGCAGATGAAGTTTCACTTGCTCACCTGCCATTTGCACAGACTAGTTCCTAACAGGCCATGGACCGGTACCAGTCCTCAGCCAGGGTTTGGGAACTCCTGCTGTATATCAGTCAGTTGTTTCATGAAGTGCCTGACTTAATGGGAGCAGTAAATCAATTTATATATTGTAATGAAAGCCTGCTGGCAAGGGAAACATTTTGGAAATAACTTTGCTAACTATAATTACATTAAGTAGCAATCCAAGATATAACTTAGGGAAGGAAGATCCTTATTACTGACTTCGTATCTTTTAGTGGTCATCATAGCATAGAAAGCTGCCCCATCTAAGTACAGCTCCTACCAGCTGGGAATGATCATCCTAATGCTGCCCTTTGCAACAGCTGAGTTCTCTACCAGGAAATTATGTTGCCAGAGATTGTTGGACTTTTAAGTTCTATCAGTCAAAATCACCTGTTCAACGTGATGGGAGTTGTAGTCCAACACAGATCTAGGAGACCACAAATTCCCTCTTCATGTTTGAGGTGAGGCAATGCTGTTAATGTTTACTTCTATTATTGTTATCATCTTAGATATTTCATATACATTACAGTCCATAGCTTCATAAAACAGCCCTTTCTTTTTCCTTCTGTCAACTATATAGAGATGTGTTTTGTGCTGTGGCATTTTATGTAACTGATACGATATTTCAGAAATTACTGGGGGGGGGGGGAACACTTAAAGTGTAACCCATTTGTAATAACAAGAATGATGAAATTGACATGTAAATGATCAAGAAGGAATTGCCAGAAGCTCCCAACTTGGTTTTCTGACACTTGACTAGTAACATTGGCTCTGAAAGCCAAAAACAAACTCCCATGAAAACTCAGTGAACTTAAATGTCTTTATTTTTATTTAAAGAACTCTCTTCAACATGATTCATGATGAATCCCATTTCAGTTTCTTTAGTATTTGTCCTGATTTATGATTGCCCTTGACAGATGAAGGCAGATTTTAAAACAGTTAGAGCATTTAAAACTTACCCCTCCCTGGAGAATCAGTTCCACTATTCATTCGTTCTTACGTTTGAAAGCTTTTCCTTATGTTCACCTGAAACCTTCCTTTATTCCATGCCCCATGTGATAAGTGTAACTTTTTTCCATGGGACTGACAACTCTTCAAACTGACAGGGCACATTTAACCCAGGCAGCCCCCTTACCCATTTGGCAGCACACAATCATGTTGAATAAAGGCTGTATGTTGGGAATAAAGTCCTCGGCCACAAACCATGATATTCTATAAGCCCTTCAAGCAGGCAGCAAGAGGACTGTCAGGGCATGATTTGGGTACTGTAGCTAGTGTGCATTTGGAAGTGTGTGTTTGTGTTGCCAGGCATCAGTAATCAAGTATAAAACAAAGAGGATTTCTTTTTTTATCCATTCTTTCTCTCTAACTCTTTGTCTTAGACAACTCACCGGGCAAAATAGGACAACTGAGTTTTGGGGTTTCCCACGATAAGTATAATTTGCACATTTATCCCTATGCAAGACAGGGTCTATTTGGGGATAAGTTTATTCTTTTCAGGTTAGTTGAGTGGATCAACTAATTCCCTTGTTGGTATCCCATAAGATCAAAGAGAATCAAGGAGAGAAGCAACCTAGAACTAAGGAGAAACTTCCTGACAGTTAGAACAATTAACCAGTGGAACAACCTGCCTCCAGAAGCGGTGAATGCTCCAACACTGGAAGTTTTCAAGAAGAAACTGGACAGTCATTTGTCTGTAATGGTATAGGGTTTCCTGCCTGAGCAGGGGATTGGATTAGATGACCTACAAGGTCCCTTCCAATTTATTTATGTATTTTTATTATTATTATTATTATTATTATTATTATTATTATTATTATTATTATTATTATTATTATTATTATTATTATTATTATTATTATTATTATTATAAGGTACATCTCCCCCAATTGTGATTGGGTGTTCTGAAATAAGAGCCATCGTTGTTATCAAGTTTCCCCCAGCATTTTCTTCAGAAAGCATTTTTTACCATTCCACATAAAATTTATTTTCAATACCATCATTGAGGGAGATGGGGAAGTCTAGAAACACAAGATATAAATAAAATTATCTTTACCTTGGTTTCTTTTTCACCAGAAGAAAAACCTCAGTTGTTGGCTTAAACGAAATGCTAATGATGAATGTTCCCCTCCAGGGTAAAAATTCCAACAGAAATCTGAAATATTCTATGGCCCCACTGTAAATTGAGAACTTTCAACAGTAAATACATTAACAAAATTGAGTTCCCAGGTATGTAGTAATTGATATTAAGAGGCCAGGAAACAATGATGTATTTCATGGTAAGTAATGCTTCTTTCTCATATTTAGTTCTTGAAAATAACTGTTTTCTGTCTCAGATTTCATTATTGCTTTATGTTTCATCAAGTCAATATCAACTCTTATTGACCAGATGGCTAAATCATCTCTAGGATAACCTGCTTTAACTTGGCTTGGAGTTTGCACATAAGATGAGATGAGATGATAAGAGATGAGATGAGATAAACTTTATTGCCATTTTTTACTGTGGGCACAGCGGCACCCATCAAAAATGAAATTTAGTTGCCCACTCTCAAAATGAAACACATACATGACACACACCTAAACATACTATATACAACATATTATAGACCCACACCCCTATATATATGTAACAAATAAATATTAAATACTGTCCATCTTGAATATATAATGGAAGGAGGAAGCTTGAGAGTTCACAAGGTTAATGCTGTATGGAATGAAACTATGGCTGAATCTGGATGTTCTGCTTCTGATACCACAAAGCCTCCTCCCAGAAGGTAGCAAGGAAAACAGGTTGTGAAGAGGATGTGTAGTGTCCCAGATAATCTTATGGACTCTGCTCAAGCAATGCTTCTGTACTATGTCCTGGATGGGAGGGAGGGAACTGCCAGTGATCTTTTCAGCCATTCTCACCACTCTCTGCACCGCCTTCCTGTCTGAAGCAGTGATGCTTCCAAACCAGACTGTGATGCTATATGACAGGATACTCTCAATCGTCCCCCTGTAGAAAGGGTAAGGATAGGAGAAGGAAGCTGTGCTTTTCTCATGCGACGCAGAAAATGCAGGTGCTGCTGTGCCCGCTTCACCAG